AGCCCAAGCCCTCTGTGTCACATACCCCAGCTTCTCTTTCAGCTTTCTCTTCTTGTTTGCTTATTTGTTAATTTCCACCCCCCCCCCCCCTTTTTTTCTCCCCCCTTTTTCCCTCGGTGACTTCCCAAGGCACAGCTGTTTCATTTTGGTCCCCGTTTAAAGTGCAATTTTTTTTTTTTTTTATTTCCCCCCCCCCCCCCCCTTATTTACTCTCCATTGTGTCCTACTGTGGGCATTTATTTTTGGCTTCAAGCCCTTGCTGTTGTTCTATGAACTTTTTCCACCTTCCTTAGTTTGTTCTAGGCTGGGCTTGCCAGGCTGGCTCAGAGCAGGGTGTTGCTTTCCAAGGGGATTTCCACGGGGCAGCTTCAACCATCCTTTTCACCTCTGCCTCCCCTGACCCTTTATGTCACTTTTCCAGTGTTTCACCTTCATTTTTTCTTAAAAATTATCTTTTAATTAGTCAGGTCTCAATCCCAGTTTTACAAACACCCCTGGTAACTAATTCCCCCGAGCCCCGTGCATAGATTTTCCTGGGAATAGGGATTTTTGGGGGTTGTTTGGCAGCAGGAGGCTGGCAGGGCTGTGACTGGGTGCAGGGGGGAGAGGGGTGGGACCGAGGGGCTCCAGATGCCACATCCAGCTTGGTCATACCCGGTGCAGCAGGAGGTGGGAGCCCAGCACTTCAGAAGCACCTGGAGCAGCAGTTGGAGAGTGTTTGCTTAAATACTCGGGCTTGTTTACAGAGCTTATCTTTCTTTTTTCTCCTCTCTTTTTTTTTTTTTCTGGTGCAGATAGGGCAGACAGACACACACAGGGGGACTCTGGACCCTGCCTGTGCCCAGGAGACCCTTCAGGGTTGGCACAAGGGGAGGAGGATGATGCTGGGGGTGGGTGGGTGAGAGTTGCCATGTCTGGAGCCCCCCCCCAGGAGGGCTGGGAATCCCAGCACAGCCCTGGCAGGTTGGTCAGGCTCTGGCAGGGACTTTCCCCTGTCCTGCAGAAGTGCCCCCCGTGCTGGGACCCCAGGGCTAGGGGGTTGCTGGACCTGCAGGGTTTGCTGCAGTTCTAGGGGCACTTGAGATGCTCCAGCAGCACTTGAGCAGCAAAATGCTGCTGGTGAAGAAACTTATATTCCTTCTTTTTTTTAATAGTGGTTCCCATATGGCACCAGCCAGGAAACCCTGTGAGTGCAGATGGGGCAGGGGGGCATTTATTGTACATAACCACATGTACCTATAGGCACTGTCCAGCTAAGTTGTGTAGGCCCTCTCCTCTCCTCTCCTCTCCTCTCCTCTCCTCTCCTCTCCTCT